AAAGCACATCTCCAGCTATGATGGATCACACAGGATACACGCAATACATCGAGGCTTGCTGCTCCAGTGTATTTATAGGATACTTTGATAAGTGCTCAAGCTGTTAAGAGCATTCAAGAAGAATAGATGGTGACTAAATTCTTACCTATTTCTATTTTTTCCAGAGCTTCAAGACTTAACCTTTGATACTGATTCACCTTGTCGATTTCATCATCGTAACTACAACAAAAAAAACAAAAAAAGAACCCAAATGTAATGCTTCCTACTGATCCAAAGCAAAGCTACTAGAAATAAACCCCACACAGGAAAAAGTGATAACTTACTAGGCCACATAGTAGGCAGAATTAGAAAGTAACAGCAGAACATCCACATCTTTGTGAGTGGCATCAATGAGACTAAGAGGAAGAAGAGGAATTAATATAGAGAAGTTTATTTGCACAGCCGTAACCCATCCCAGTGTATTTTAGAGACACTCTTTTACAACTGAAGGCACATTACAATGAAAGGCTTCATTAATGGAATATTCTTATACGATGCTGCAACCTCTCCACAGCCAAGCCAAGTTAGGGGAGATGCTTCACAAGCCAAAACCAGACCGTAAGTGGGTCCACATAAGCAACACTCACTCTCTTAAACCTGGAGTTACCCAACAGCTCAAATAGGTCAGCAGCAGATCCAAAAATAAGTAGAAAAACCACAAGCTATTAAAAATGCTAACAGAGAAATTGAAGAATATCTCAGACTCTGTTAAGGTGACGAGTCTGTGCTTCAAACAGCTGTCTTAACATCTTGCTTTGCTATTTTTAGATGCTAAAGTTTAACCTGGAGAACACCTAACTAGTATTTTTCTTTTACAAGTTAGTGACCTCTGAACTTGACAATGAGACTTATCAGTGAAGTTTGAGTCTATGCTCCCTACTTGCATGAAGAGAAATCTAGGCTTTCCTACTACTGACTTATTACACAAGAATTTAATCTGATCTGATACGGCTTTGAAGTCGAGTTACCCTTTCCCCATAAAGCAATACGGAATAACAGCTCCTCAAACAGCACTTACTAGAATTAAGGTTGGCTGGAAGTTCCCTTCACAGTGCCTACCACATTTTGGTGATATTAACTAAATGCATGGATTTCCACCTGATGCCTCAATGGTAACTCCAGCAAACAGCATTTTTATGGCTAATGGGAAAAGCAAACGCTCTTTTGCAGTTACAAGTATTCAATCCCTTCAAGGACTCTTGTCGCTCTACAAAACCACCCACTTGTATTCTCCTAACACACCAGCTATCAAAGTCATTTGCCATCAGTAGTAATTAAGAGAGGTGTTGCAGTAGCAGCTGATCAATCATGACTTTATTCAACAAACCTAGGATCACAGTCAATAAGTGCCCATCCTCCATGAAATTTTTCATCATCTGGCAAGAGTAGTTTCATGTAGCTCTGCAGGAGCTGGCTGATCAATTCCTGATGGCTCCTCAGGTTCTCCTTGTGCAGGGCTTCATGCTCTTTCTCTCTTGTAAATATGGAGTAAAGATCCTCTGTTACAGGGACACCCTGCATCAAATCTAAATACAACCCACAAAAAACCAAACAAGAAACCAACAGTTAAAAGTGATATACAGCAATAGGCTGTTGATTACTTTGTAAAGTCCTTCCAAAAGTGTTTCATATTTAAAGATACTCTTGAAAAACGGTCACTCTAAACCAAATGTTGCCTGACAATGAAAAGTAGGCATAACACAATTTCATCTCAGTAAGAAGCACAAGTAACCAATTACTTGCTACATAAATTTAACTTCATCTGAGAGATGTTACAAGACAGTTAGTGCTAAAACGAAGTTAGAAGCAAATTCTACGCAAGTTAAACCACATGCAATCCCTCTGAATCAAGTGTTCTTTAATGTCCAACTGGAGAATGCCTGTTTCACATGGTGTCCACTACATAGACATGAACATACATACACGCATGGTGCCTTTAATCTTCAGAAAAACAATGAACCACAAAGATAAAGCCAAGGTGACTGCAACAGGCTTCTCTAAATACCATAGTTCAGCCTAGTTGAAATCGTATTCTTACCTATGACTGCTTGCCTGTAAGCATCCCTGAAGCGATTCAAGTAGTATCTGTTTGCAGAATTAACTCCATCCTTCATTACACCTGCCAGCTTTCTTTCCCCAGTCCTTGTGAAGTCACCCTGTTACACAGAACATGCAAATCACACACATACACAACTCTGAAGTAGCAGTTGCAGCTCAAGCTTTGGCATTCTGAAATAAGTGACAACTCAGAAATTATGTGCAAGTAATTATTTCACGTAGAAGTTGAAAATACTGATTTTCAAAGAGCATCTACTTCTCATGGCATTGTTTGACTCTCAAGACAGTCTTATGATTTTGACAGACTTAAGATTCTTTATGAAGTCCTAACAGAAAACAGTAACCTGGACATATATGCCTGCTACCATTAAAGCAGAACTTTCAAGACATCAGTCACTCAAATACCTAAAAAATTATTTTTGCCTTTAATGTAAAAGGAACTCCACTGGAACCATGCAGAAGAGTGGAGCTTTCACCTCTCCTGCTACCAAAACAAGTGAGCATAACATACTGAAGGAAAACTGCATATCCTCACAAGCTCACAAAGTTTCTGGGCCACGGAAAGCTTAGAATGTGAACAAAAAGCAGTTCTGGTAGTTACACTTCATTAGTTCTTCTGTTCTCAGAGACACTCTGAACATCAGCATAGAGCAGTTCTAAAAGCCAAGCCAACTACTATGAAGAACAATTCAAGTGTGTTTCACTTTCAAATCAAATATCACAATTAAAACTGAAGATAAATTTTTCAGCCACTCTGCTTGAAGATTCCTCTACTCACTATTGGGGTTCATGGATTAAATCTAACTTATAAATCAGATTTAAATACTTGCAACCAAGACAAGCATGTCAGGCTGTTGGGGTTTTTTTTAAAGGATTAATGCCATAGACTAATCAAAGTTCAGTAGAGAGATTTAAAAAAGATTTAAGTGTTAAGCACTTGCATGAAATATTTTTCCAATGCCAAATACCAGGAATACTAAAAATTGTTCCTCCAGTGACTACATACACAGAAAATAGCTCTCATACTATGGCTTTTCAAAGCAACAGGCATGACCAGTAAGGAGTTTCATGCCCAGTTTCTGATCATGGTACAGACTGCATTACAACTACAAGAAAAATCTAGTGAAATTGTAACTAATTAATATCACCCTAACACCTACATATCCTGATCTTCAGTCTTTCAGAGTATTTTTTTCTGAAGTACTTTAACTGCTAAGTGCTATAACCATGCTTAAATTTAACTAGAAGTACTACTGAATATAGATCTTAAACTCTTAGCTAAGCTATGCTTTGTTGCATACCTAGGTATGAAACTACTAACAGAATGAAGCTAAAATACAGGCAGCACTGCCACAGGACACCTGGAAACTCAAGTTTTCTCCACACAGCGATACAAAATATTTTTTCACTGAGAGGCCTCACGCCTCTTAAAGACAAACCCACAGAGAATATTTGGCTGATTTTGTTACACATACAAGAGCTGTCCATTGGGCATAAAACCTGTAACACAGGCTACATCATCCATATCATCAGAACAGGTAACGCTCTTCACTCTTTACCTTTAAGGCCGCTGTGCCAGCATACTGCCGGCTTATGGCATCTCCGTTGTTTGCCCAAATTATCTGGTAGATTCTATTGCATTTCACTGGCAAAGGCTGTTCTGGTGGCATCACACCCAGTTTTTTGAGCTGGAATTGGACATATGCATTAATATAAGGTTCAAAACAAAAGTAAATCTCAATATCAGAGCTTGATAAAGAAAATGGGAACACTCATCAAGTATTTCATTGTTGAATTGTGTATGGTAAGGAAAAAGGAACCCATTCTGCTAATTTATCAGATTGAAATAATTGTTGGCAACAAATCACTAATTCATTGTTAAACATCACATCGCTGGATGCAGCAGTAATGTATTAATTATGGATGTGGGAGCCAATCTTCAAAAAGGTAGCTGAAGGAAAATAAGTTACTTCCATTTTCTATACAGAACTATCAAAATAACAGACATTAGAGAACTTTAACACGGATATACAAGTTAATGTCTTCAATTGCAAAGGCATTCATGAACTCAAAGGTCTGAAAACAAAGAAATGGAATCTCTTCCCAGCTACAAGAAAAAAAGCACACCAAATTCTTAATCTTTTGCTTTGAGACACCAAACCAAATGCAGCAGCTCCATCTTCAAGCCTACTCCCCTCCTAAAATAAAATCCTTAAAACAATTTCACGTGTTGTGTTTGTTATTAACGCTTAATGCATTTTGGACAGTTACTGTTTGACACTGAACCTGAAAGTAAGATACTTTATTCTTCAGAACTACCAGTACTCAAGTTTTCCCTAGGTAGCTCCAGGTACAATATAAACTTTTGCCTTTTCAAACACACAAAGCTGGTAAAGCAGCACATGTGTAACTTCATTAAACAGTAAGAAAACTTATTTACGATCCAGAAAAAACAAATGCTCAAGCACTCTTCACAAGTTAGAGCCATTCTCCTCATCCAACTGAATGACCCACTTCATCCTTCATCCTTCGCTCTAAGCAGTCAGGTTTGTTCATTTGGGGCTGGGTTGTAACTGAGGCTTCCCAGTTTCAGTTACAGGACTATGAAGCCTTCACACAGGAAGACAATCACCACTGAGTTTCTATATCAAAAAGCAAACGGGGGCAGGGCAAAGTGGAGGAAGATTAGAGGAAGGACTCTCAGTCTGCTTGGAAATGCTGTCTGTATACAGGGAAAACTATTCCAGAGCATAGCAGTCAGCCACCTGGGATATTTATATCACAAATTAATTATTCTTCTATACACAGAAGAGAGCTAAACTCCCTACCTGATACACCACAGTATTTCATAGTAGCTAAAATAGTTAGACTTTAGACCTTAAACATTGGGAAAGATTTATAGGGGCCCCATCATGTCCTGCTTTGGGGTTTTGTATAACAAATTAAAACAAGTAAAGAAAGAGAATCTTCAAGATGTGGACAGTCATTTGCTCTCTGATGGAAGACCTCTAGGCACCACTGTTTTAGAATGACTTCAGGTTCTTTAGTTGTACATGTTACTTCCAGCTTCATAGCTCTCCAAGTAGTTTGCAAAGATCCTTTTCAGTAGAGGTTAATTCAGCATTTTTCAATCACACAGATTTCCCTGTGAATAACAATTAAGTCCTGAGGTACTCAGTACTTGAAAGAAGTAGATTAATTATACATGCCTGTTGTTCCATGACCACTCTTGCAATAGCAGCCTGCACAACATTGGTACGATCCAGACAGTCCATGCAGTTAACTCGAAAAATTCCTTCCTGTTTACAGATCACACCAGCTTGGTCAACCCTTTCAACAGAAAAACAGAGCACAAGCATACCGAGACACTTAAAATCTAGCATATTCATCAGCTTCTACAAACAACAGCGAATTTTACACATGGAGTACTATTTACAGTTGCACTCACCACCCCACTCAGAATTAACTGTGCTTGTTCCAACCTATCCTCCACTTCAGCCTAGGACAGATACTCAACACAGCCTACTGGGGCCATTGACCTGATGTGTAACCAGAGGTTGAATTCCATTCATACACACATAATAGGAGCTTTCAAGAGAAAAGGCATTTAATTTCAAAAACAAAAGTCAACAATAACGACAGCAACCTCTCACTCATAACATACATTGAGCAATACATGGTAATTGATTGAAGACTGCAGCTGTACTCATTACCAAAATGCACAAACTTTAATCAGTACAAACTAAGGTCCAACACTTCTACCACCTTCAATAGGAGGGCTGGTGTTCTAGGCTTTGTGGGTCAAATAAAAAAAAGTGTTTCACATTAAATAGAAGAAATTCTAAAAGTGTTAACTGCAGTAAGTCTCAGGCAGAAGACAGAGCCTGAGAATTTTTGCTGTTACGTGTGTGGGACAGCAATACTTCAGAACACAAAAACTCTGGCAAACAAGCTGGGAGCCAAGACAGGAATATAAAACATACCAGTTATGACAAAATCAAGGCCTCTGAAAATGCACTGGTTTTTTGGTTTTTTTCTACAAATATTTCATACTAGTCTCAAAACAGTTAAGCACTTACCAGCACCACTTCATGTCAAGAATAATATCGTGAATGGCATCAGTCAGTGTTTGAACATTTTCAAACTTCATTCCTCGGCTAAAATACAGAATTTCACAGAAGTTACTTTGAACCAGAGTAGTGATTTTTGTTTACTTATTTGTAACGTTAGCAAAAGATAGCATTTGGGCTAAGTGGGAGAGACAGACATTCTTTCCTGCAATAAACTTTAAATAGCAGCCAATATTCAGAAATAAAGGTACAGTTAAATCCAGGCAAGAGACTCAGATCTTTTTGCATTCTTGAATGCTGCTTCTGTGAGGAAGAACAAGTGTGCAGCTACTCAGGCATGTGCAACATTCTGCTCTTGTTTCAGGCATAGCCTCAACAAAAGTACCCACTACAGATTTAAAATTGGGATGGCATGCTCTGCTTCACCAGTGATTCTACAGAAAAAAAACCAAGAAAACACACACCTACAGACACATCATCCCCTTCTCTACTCCCACCCCAGCAGGTTTTTTCAGAGTTGTTCTCTATTCACTAATGCTCACAGTGCAAAAAAACAAAACAGTCCAAAAAAACCAGTCCTGATCACTACAGCAGTTCTCAGGAGAAAAGCAAAACAAAAAAATGAAAGCTCATTTAAACAAAAGAGAAAAATATCAAATCCATTCAGGATGTCGAACAATCCTACAGAAAAGGAGTCTCAAAGGCTACTACTATTTTGCACGTTTTTTCCCTCCCCCTCTGAGACAACATCTACCAATGACATACTTTTCCAGTCCATAATGCTTCTTCCCCAGGCCAGATGCAATCCCTAGATTAAGTTCAGAAATTAAGATTAAAACAGTTTTTAAACCCTGTGTTTATGCAGAAATGTGGTCTCTGCTTGAGGGAAGCACGAGATAGATCCCTGTGTGACAGATCACATGCTCAGGCACGTGAACTCTGCTGACATCAGGGCTCGGTCACGAAAGCAGCACCCATTTGTACTGACCCTCAAAGAAAAATACATCATAGGTTTATAGAAACAGCCAAGAAAAACAGAAGGATGGCCCATAGTAAAGAATTCAGAGCAGAATGTTATGCAGTTCAAAAAGCAGGTCGGCCACAGCTTTACATTCATAAGCATGTTTAAGGAAACTCTCTTGCTCAAAACACAGAAACAACTTCTAAGCATTACATAATAACTAATTGCATATTTAACAGGTCAGTGACACAAGATCAACAAAAAGCAGGCTTGGATACCTAAACGTGAACCTTTAAACAGGAAGAATATATTTTGTAAACTATAGCATCGTAAATAAAATGTTTCATGCAGAAACAGAAATAATAATGGCTTTTCTCCTCCTTTCTATTCTCCTTCCATACTAATGAAAAAAGATAAAGCAACTTTTTAAAAAAGGTTTCTTACCAGTGCTCATGGAAGTCAAATGAGACATAAGTCAGATTTGCATTGTTGTATAGAAGAACTTGTTTAAGGTAAGCATCTCCGATAATCTTCTCTCTGCCCGTCTGATCCACCAAATTAATAATAACCTGTTCAAAAGTTGAATTATTTAACATTTCTCATCTAGTACACGACTTGCTTAGATCTCTACCACAGAATAACAAATAGGTCAAGAGTTAAAATATTTGTAGGCAATCTTGTCAAAGTAACGATCTTTGCTAGATTGTACCCAAGATCAAGTAAGCTCCAACAGTAACTTGCCTACTTGAATTTTAATAGAGAGAAGCTATGAATTCACAGGACAGGTACACAAAAGTGAGACTTACACATTTCTCTCAGTTATTGCTGGTTTGGTTGGGTTTTTTTAGAGGTTAATTACAAGGATACCTGAACAATTTAGTAAAATTCTATTTGTGTATCACCTTTCCAATTGTCAACAGGCTTCTAGAAAAAAACACAACCTATATCACCAAGAAACAAAAACTAATCATCTGTGTTTTTATAATTATTTTTTTCACTCACCTGTTTTTTGTAATTTTTCAGCTGCTCTTCAAAATGCGCACGAAAACAGGACACAGTTTCATTTTCACCTACAAAGCAGAGCAGCGTTAGAAACAGCTTGTTCAGGAACAAGTTCTGTTTGAGGTATGGAAATCACACCCAATTCCATACTCCATTAAACCCTACAAGTGTGCTGGTTTGGGATGGAATAATTTTCTCCACAGTAGCTAGCATGGGGCGATAGCTTCGCTTGAAGTAGTTAGACACACAAAATAACACATTGTACACAATTGCTTTTTAAGGTCTTTCACCAATTTACTCAACTTCAACATTGTTTTTTCCACCATTATCATGTACAGGACATACCATTCCTAAGTTTCGCTTTATTGTGCTTTTTGTGCAGAGCAGACTGAACTTTTAATAAGCCCATTTCATCCTTCCACACATGGCAGCACACCCCCACACCAACATTGCTTCCAATATAAGAGTGCTTATATGGTTTTGCATCCTTTTCAAAAGCAAGCATAAGTACAAGAATGGTTGGAAAACTGCACAGGGGGACACATAGAACAGGGGATAATACTGGTTATACAAGATCATGAACATCCTAGCTTCCTGCCGAGAGAAGTTTCTCCTTTACAATCCTAAACCTAGAGAAGATTCTGTTGACTGTATCTTTCAATAAAGTTCAGGTTACGAATACCTAGTTCACAGGAGCATCCAAGACTTCTATTATCTCCGAGTGGAAAAGAAAGCAATTTAGATCTGACAAAAGCCACTAGATAGTATTTAATTTCAGAGAAGAGAAAAAGCACACTGCATAACTTGTGTTATATGAAACGTCTATGTTTTCCCACACTGAAATAACAGTGCTTAATGCAGAAGGAACCTCAGCAGAAGTTAACTTTCTGGACAAATATATTTTGAAAACAGCAATGGCTAAGCAGATTCTCAAAAGAGAAAGCCAACTGCCTCCTTCCCAACCTAGAAAACACTGCAACAAGTCAGACTACACACAAAACAAGTGCTTCATTAAGTACTGAAACTCAAGCCCTGTTGGAATTTACAAGGAATGAGAAGTCAGAGCTCTGCAGTTAGAGCAGGAGTAAACTGAAGTTGAGTGATTACTGTTATTCCCAGCTTATACAAAGAGCTGCTGAAAGACTAATGGTGAAGCAACACTCCAATGAACCTATTTCTAAGTGATCTTCGGGTATTTCACTCCAATACTTACTCTTGTCCAGTCGGGGCCGTGGGTTATATCTATATCCAACTTGGCTCCAGAAAACAGGCACAGATCCTCTGGTTTGTATGAATGAAAGAGTATGATTATGAACGTGAATCAGTTGCTCAGTCTCAACATAATTTGCCACATTTCCATTTTTATCAACACCTCTTCGCTTATACCGCATTCCTAAGAAAAATGAGAACCATCAATTCATATTTAAGTATTGGTCTTAAGTGTTAATAACTTGTTAGTTTTTAAAAACAGTAACACAAGAAGAGAGCTCTAGCCAAAATCCACGACCAATGCTAAGAGTCACTCCTATACAAGTCTAATCCCCAAAAGTCACGTTGACGAAGTGGATAAAGTTTATTTACCAATATATTTAGAGCAGTGGAAAGTAAGCTGACAGGACAAGGCAGACTACTGGCACTATAAAGCCAGATATCTGAGGCATATAGGATGCAGGGAATAGGGAAGGAATAAGTAGAAAAGGGTTGGAGAAAGATTCAAGGCCATGGTTTAGAGCTTGGAAATTCAGTTCCCCAGGATCAGAACAACTCTGTTCCAAGTCTTGAAGTAGCACCACACCAGACCTTTGAACTGAATCTCAACAGCACTAACTAAGGACTATAGGACAGAAGGGAAGAGATTAGAAATAGGGAAGTGAAAGGAATGCAAAATATCTATCATAGGGACCTTGAAAAAAAGGTCAGAGCAGTATTGCAGCCTCTAATCAGACAGGGGCTTTTAGACAGAAGCATCAGACACCCTTTACTTATATCTTTCCAACAAAAATGGCTCTTGCCAAAATCCCAACTAGTTTTAGTATAGTTGTAGGCTGTGTTTTGTGTTGGTTTTGTGGGGTTTTTTTGGGGAGGTTGGTTTTATTGTTTGTTTGTTTGTTTAAATCACAGACAAGCTGCCTGACAAATAAAGAATTGGTGTATTTAAACACAGAATTATCTTAGGCTTCCAAAATTAGTGTTTCCTCTGGGTTTTTTTTGGTGGGTGGTATTTTTAATTACAATATTTCAGAAGTGAAGAGTTCAAACTCTCATCTAAAAGCATGTATTACACAATGAATTAAACACACAGTCCTATAATTATTCTTCAAAACATCACATCCATTTACTGAAACAGTCTTTTTATGTCACAGGATAAAGTTCTACACAGTTTATGCTCTGGACTAGCAATCAGATGTGCATACTGTCATTAATAATAAGAGTGAATCATTAAGAAGTTCGCTCTTCGCAGCGTGCCTTATATATACTAAATTGTTTTACAGATACAGAAACTGAATTGCAAATCCTGACATCCCAAAGTACTTACTCTGAGTTGTTCTGACAAAAAAATGTTCCTGAGAACTGAATTAAATGCATTGAAATGAGTTGTGGTACAAAGGCCAGTCCCATGTCAAGGCAAGCTCACCACATTATTTCTTGTTTTCTTTGACATGTTAAAAACCTGACTGTGTAGGAAAGAAGTTGGAGACAGGGGAAAGTATCTTAAAAACATCTGACAGACTGAAAAGGCTTAGAGTTGAACAGGACCTACTAAAGCATGAAGTGATTCAATCTTTCTGTGCTCCTAAGGACAAGGAATCTTTTTTTTTCTTTGCTACTATTAGAATAAGTCAAATAAGTACAAGACCAAAGCACAGTTCTTATTTCACACATTGGCCCAAAATAAACATCTCCTGGCATGCAGGCATGCACACACACACCTTTTCAAGTTTATTCAGCTGCTGTCAAAGCCCTTAAAGACCTTTGAAAATTTAACTCCCACCCAGGCCTACTGAAATCTACCAGGACAGAGCTGTAGGCAAGGTCCTAGTCAAGTGTTCTTTGCCGAGATGGAACTTTATCTCAGAATCGTGACCTCCAAAGATGCATTCAGTGCTCCAAGAGGAAACTAGCAAAGCTCCCTTAACCGCTTTACTTATCTGCTGTGTAGTACTGTATGCATTACAGCCTTTCCTCCTAAATGCAGCAAAGGCTGTAGGACGTATTTTCACACGAGCTGACCATCTGCTGAACAATACAGCACTCTGAAGTTTTATCTTTTGCATCCCTCTCCGGGGTTCAGGAACAATCCCAGTACCTTGAACTATGTTTGCCTACCAGCTCTGTGCCGACTCCGGCGTGAAATAAGCGCCACCAGAAATGTTGGATGTACGTCATCTACACAAGTTGATTCCTGAGGAGGAGTTTCAGGACTGCTCTTATCATCATCAGAAGAAGATTCACTATAGTTTACTACAAGTTCTTCAATTTGCACAAATCCTTGTATGATGGGTATAATCCAGAAGTCCACTTCAGCATTCTGAAGGTTACAAAAAACATTTACATTCCTGTTGGTTCTACATTAGCTACAGTTATTTCTGCCATTTCTGATGTTTATAAACAGTTGCTTCGCATGCTTTTCATGTTTTAAGAAATTTCTGCCATATCCTTGTCTTATTTCTGTAAGAGATATGAGCATTCTTCCTCCGCTAGTCGTAAGGCTTTTAAATCAGGAGGAAGAAAAAGCAACTTAAGATTTTTCTATGGAGATGAAGCAAGCTGCATCAAGGTAAGGCAAAAAGCCTTCCTCTACTCTTAGGCACATAGGGACAAAAGAAAACCCTACAATATTTAAAAGCTTCTTTTCTAGTTTCCCCAAAGGGCATTTTCAATACAATGTTACATCTAAAGTTTAAGCACGTTAAAAACTTAAAGTAGTGACTTCTGATGTCAATGACAAGAATTGTCAGTTTAGATAGAGGAAATATAGACAATTTGTTACCTAGTTTCTACTTTGAGGTATTTTTACAACCTCTATGTTGATTAGATTTATACTAGTAGACAGATAAAAATTTGAAAGTGTCATGTTGTTAGCCTGTTCACAGCAAAACATACTAGTATAAGCTTTATTCAGCCCAAGCCAATGGGTTCAAGGCTCTGCACATTAGTGCTTTGTCACTCTAAAAACCTTAATTTCTTAAACAAAATTGAGATCTGCATTCCCTACTAATTCAAGGTTATCCATTTATACTTTATAAGATGAAAAATACAACTGAATTCCTGCACCATGCACAAGTTTACACAGCACAGCTAAGTTTACCCTTCTCTGACTCAGTAACCATTAGAGTATTTAAAACTATCCAAAGAGAGATGTGGGGCATAAAGTAAGACGTCTGCTGTCATCTTTAAAAGAACCTGCTGTCACCTTTAAAAGAACCTGAGACTTGGCCTAAACTGACATATAGCAGTCCTTTACCTACAAAATTTAAGATGAAGCGAGATCACATGTTGAAGAAAGAGAGGCTGCTCTATGTTTATGGGTTCATTAGCCAGCCAAATGCTTTATCTACTCTGAATAGCTGCTTAGAACAACTTGTTCCACACTATCGTTACATTGATCAGCTATTCTGTTCAAGGAGAACAGCAGTATTCCCTGCTTAGAAGAACAAAAATCTTGTCTCAAGAAAACTTTGGAATGCAGTTTCTTCTCTGGCTTCTCATCTTTATTAAGTTCAGCTCTGTCCAGGGATAAAATGTATTCATCTGTGAAATGGGTTAAGTTTACCTTCAGAAATCAACACAAACATATCACACATCAAATTATTCTGCATTGCTTTATAGTAATAAAATTAAGTTCAGTTAACATTCATTACTAACAAACACAGACTAACTAAAAGGCTGCCAGAAGGCCGGCTGAGGGAAGAACGTAATGCCAGTTGCTCACTTGCAGAAGGTGCAGCCCTAATCCTGACTCATCTACCAAGGAGGTTAAGTAAACTTCTATGAGGCCTTAAGGAAACATTTCAGCTAAAACTAAAGAAAGGTTCTCATAATACATATTGTTATAAATAAGACTCACATCAACACTGATGAGATCTTCAATCATGTGCTTGTTCCAAAAGAATCTGTCATCAACCTGTTTAAAACAAAAAGGACAGGTTTTGCAATATTTAATTAAGGCTTGGCAATATCTTTGGTAAGGACCCCAGTGTTATTCACTACAACTATATATACACATCTAGTGTTCACTGCTTTTGACTAAAACAGCTCAGTTATGCTGCTCAAAACTTTTGCTTCGTTTCCTTGTACTTGAAGCTGGTTACAAAGCAGGATCTTCACTTACTGTAAATTATACCAGCAGAGAACATAAGCAGCCAAGTTTCAACCAAATACATTATTGAACAGCACCTGCACCCCACCCAAAAAAAGGACAGACAAAAAAACCCTCACCACCACCTACTCCCACAACTTACTTTTCGCCACAGTGGTAAGTTAGTTTTCTCACACCCACTCTGCCTCTGCACTGAATTTGTTAGGTCATAGGTCAGGCTGTAGTAAAAGGAGTCTGAATCCATGAACATTTTGAACAGCTCCTCCAATAGCCTCTTCTCCAGCTTCTCTTTTTCTTTACTTTCTTTAATCTGAAAGAAAAAGTAATGGCTTTCTTACATCTTTCTTTTCCATTGAAGACGACCCCAGCCATATTTGCTAAATGCCATTTCCAGCCCTGCAGCACAAACGTTTTCCCACTGAGGAGTAGGATCTTAAAATTTCCAGCAGAGACAGGCACAAAGGACAGCACCTTCAGAAATATCACGCTATTACTTTTAGCGGTAAGGGCATGCAAAGCAGTCAGGCTCCACAACTTTTACAGCTTACAATCGAGTAACATGTTTTGAATCTCATGAGCCTCTAACAAATACCACATGCACCCATTCTAAATAAATACTGTTTGGACTTTTTTAATTCAAGCCAAAGCATTTTGATAAGCTTGTAGGGTATTCTCTGAGACACTGAACCAAATTTTCCCTCCAATTATGCAGAGCAACTTGTAGAAACTTCAAATCCCACTGCAAGCTAATTCTGATAAGAACGTACTCTATTAGCAATTCCACTGAAATTAAATAATTACAAAATGAGAAAAATCATAGAAGTAGCACTTAAATAATCAAAAGTAAACTGAACTTCAAGACAGTAATTACACATTCCATGGTTTTTCACTAGTTCTCTTTTTAGGTCTTAGTACCCCATTTGATCATTCACCACAACCTTGGAATTACCAAAACATTTCGAAAAACAGGAGTAGAAAGTTTTACCTTCTTTTTATTTGGAGCAGACACATTTGATTTAATCTGAGTAAGAGTCTTCAGCAGAAATTTTGTGTCATCTGGGGACTGTGTAATCTTCTCTGGCTTGTTTATTCCAAAATGGTGCTTTTTACAAAGCTAAATAACAATATTAAATTAAAGCCAGTATTTAAACTTTAAAAAGTTAAAGAAAATTTTAATTAAAGTTTACAAAAGCAAGACTGCAATGTCCACAAACCCAGGGGAGATACTCTGAAATACAATGGGAACACACAGGTTTCTACTGATGGTACAATTCTCCCTCTTTATATAAGGCATCTTCTCCTGCAACTGTGAGAATGTCTGCCTCAATTTGACATGACCTGAGTATCCAGATCTACCTCAACTTTCACCCAAATTACCATGCATTAGTCACTTGTATTGTCTTTCCTTTATCCAGTCTCTTTTGGGAAAAAAAAAATAGACCTGAAGCATTTAAAGTCAGGGCTTCCCTTAAAGCCAAATTATAGAATTAAGATTCCAAAACTGGACGAAGCAAAAGCATTCATTTAAACCACATACTCTCTCCTTCACATACTCTCCTCCTTTAGAGGAGAAAGATGACAGCTTCCTGCCCCAAAACACACTCACATGTGGAGCCCTGTCTTAGAGATATTAGGGATAACCTCAGAAGTAAGACAGCTGAAGTGCTTGGGAGAGGGCACTGAAAACATGAGATCTCATACAGGTTTCTAGGCACAGCGGCCCAAAGCAGACGTGGTATGTTCTTGCCTACGTGACTAAGATCAGGAAGGTATCACCATCAGACCTACTCCAGGTGATCCTGCTTTGGCAGGGGGTTGGACTAGATCTTTCAAGGTCCCTTCCAACTCTACACATTCTGTGATTTCAAATCATTCTTGTATCTCAGACCCTGGGAGGTTCTAACACCTAGACTCTGAAGAAGCACTTCAACAGCTCTTCATGATCCTAGAGTTCTACCAAAGCTTTGGAGACTCCACAGCAGCCTTTCCCTCTTCAGGGCAGGATTTTCATGCTTTCATACAAGCACCACAGAGACCATCACAAGTCATCCTGTCCTCCCGTGATCATTGCCCCACTGCCACACACAATCAAAAAAAGCCAAAACCTTAAGACAGCATTTTTCTCCCAGTAGTCTACTAACCACAGTGTACATCATCTTCAAATACCAAGATCTACTGAAAGTCTTACAATCCCAGTCAGATCAGGAAAGCTGGGGGATATTTTAAAGAAAAAGCAAAACAAAACAAAGTTCCTGTCCTAGTCTACAGCTTTGTCCCTTTAAATGATTCCTGTGGATTCAGTTGCTCAACTCGTGTTTTTGTTCTTGTGCACTATTTTCAAAGGTCTTTATGAAATCTGGGCATGGTTTCACTGTAATTTCCCTCCCTAGCAAAACTTCTGATTTCTAACTTAAAAACAAAAATGTAATTTCTATTTTCAAAATAAAAACCCTTAATCAAAAAATAGTACGTAAAAAGCCATTCAATATCATTGCATACACCAGAAAAAAGAGATGAGGCATGTGCTTAACTATCATATTCCACATTTAAATTTCACTGAAACAGAAAGGGAAAAAGTCAGAATTAATTGAAGGCAGCCATACCTCTAATTCCAGATCCTGAGGCTCTGTTTCAGAAAGCGGAATCACAGCAATCTTTGTAATTTTGCAAACCTCATGGTCTCCTGGAAGTTTGCCAATCAATGCTTTCTGACGAATTAAAAGTAGCCACCACGGTAAATCTGGAAAAAGATTAATAGATGCTTTGATTTGTCTGTCAGGCTTTTACTTTCATTAGTCTGCCAGAAGCTTCTCTCCGGTGTAAAAACCCCTGCCAGGAACTATTTGCCTAAAAGAGTGCAGTAAATGACAATTCACTTCTGCTATGTTTTGCTGTTATGCGTTGCAATACAAAACCACCCTAAAATCCAATACCTATTCAGTCACTAATATAAAAAGGAGATTAACTATTTCATAGATTTACCCATTAGAGGTGAACTTACCACTGCTTCACCTACAGCAGTTAGGCACATTCCCACCAAAGCCACTAAGGGCAGTACAATTTGAAAAGAATAGCTGGAGCTAAGATTTTCCCTTTGTACCTTCTATTGTATATAAACCAGCAAATGAGACAGGCACTGGTGACAGCTGATTACACGATTCACAAGCTAAGAAGTATGGTGAGAAAACGTGAACTGCATCATAAAGCTACTCATATATGTTTAAAGCTTCACAACATTATTCCTAAAGTATAGGAATCTAAATGGCACAGAAATCAATGAGCCAAGATTAATGAAGATATCACTAACAGGTAAGGTCCATATACACATTGAATCTACAGCAGTTGCAATTACAGCTTAAACACTTCAAAGACAGAGAAACAGAAAAACAAACATCTAGGAGGTTAAGGTCCAGTTGTTATTGAACAGTCAGTGGCAATTATGATTCTATGATTCATAGTAGTCTATTTACAGTGGTTGTTTCTTCTGTTTAGGGAATAAACTGCTGCTTGCATGTATCTTGTCAGATTTGGGTTGAAGTGTTCAAGGGTTCACCTGCAGTTATTGGAAAGACACTCACAAGTTTGACAGATCTTTAATTCTGCGCTGAGAGTATTTTGGAAAAATCTATGAAAGAGTTAAGAATTCTGAGTGTCCTATGACTTTAAATGTGCTATCTGGGATTTTTGTTAAGCACTCAGAAGTTAAAATACTGTTTCAAGTTTACTGAGCAAGGAAAATAGACTTTGTATTTGCTGTAAAGCTTCTAAATAGGTATTTACAAAGGCTGTATATTGTGTTTGAAGACATAATACTTGACACAACCTACTGTCACAAGTGTGGAAGCATGTTTAAGTCTACCATAGCAGGTTTTTAATGTCTGTGTATGACCTCTTCAGTTAAGCTCAGTTGGCTGCTTGTAGGTTGGGAGAAATAGTGAGTGTATAGATGTGTCTCTAAGACTTCCATGGCTTTCCCATTCTCTTAACAGAACTTTTGCTTTTGACTTGTTAAAGCCCAGCATACTGCTGGCATGCTACTGTTTTAACAAGGGATTAAAATCTAGGAGGTTAATGTCCAGTTGTTATTGAACAGTCAGTGGGAATGTTTCATAGAATCTAATCTATGATTCTGTGATCCTATGAAGCATTCCCACTGACTGTTCAATAACAACTGGACATTAACCTCCTAGATTTTAATCCCTTGTTAACCCTTGAACACTTCAACCCAAATCGGACAAGATACATACAAGCAGCAGTTTATTCTCCCTAAATAGAAGGAAAAACCACTGTAAATAGACTGTTATGACAGCTCACTCATTTTGATATGTGCTGTGAGAATCAGAGGCTGCTCCCCCCCCCAAAAAAAGGAAGAAGGGAAATGAAGACATGCACCACTTATTTAATGTATGCGATCTTCTAAAGCGAGTCCTGCACTACTCCCTGAATGTAACATCAGAATTACAAATCTCTCCAGGATCACAGACAAGTCAGGTCAGGAGGGATCTCAGGATGTTCTCCTGCTCCAGCAGGGTCAGCTCTGAGGGGTGCCAGGTTACTCAAGGCTGTGACATAAGCACAGCCTGCTAAAAACTAGTCAGAGGATAACAAGCAAGGACAGGAGAGTGCCAGTAAACACCAGCAAGACTGCCATCTCACTGCCAGCAGCCTATAGAAACCCAAGGCAATTCAAACTTAACAAAGGGTAGATATTCCCGTTAGGAAGTCGTATCATCTGCTCCCTCCTACAGAAGGTTAGTCACACAATTTATTCCCATGAGATCGCCTGTGTTTGTCAACAAACAAACCAGAAAAGACACTAGCTAGATCTCCTGTGAAACAAATCAGTATACTCCAAAGGGAAAAAAAGTATAATGTAAAGGCATTTCTAAGCAGATAGACCTCAGTGAAAACTGAAAAAGAAAAAAATTTCTGGCTACTCTTCAGTTTACCTCATATTACCAAAACCTAATAGCAGTAAATGAGAACTTAAAAGCTTAATACAGCCAAGTGTGTTATGCATCCTTTTATAATTTCTAAAGCACACTCAAAGTAATTTTGGTGTACATTTCAAAACTCCTTGTATTGTAGCCAGAGCCACAGAACATTGAACAAAAACAGGAATTCCCCAGCAGATCAAAAGAAAACAGTCAGGAAGTAATTAGGCAGATAAAGTATGCTCTGAAGTGAAAGCTTCAACAATAGCCATAAAAGCAATGTATCATAATTGCCAGCAATATTTAAATAACTGAACCTGTAAACAGAGTATGTGCTTCAGCAGTTAAAGAAGCTGTTCTATAGAACAGCTTAAAAAAAAATTTAGGTACTGTCTACTCAATGTGGGAGGTATGGCATATACAGGAGAACACTGAAGTTACATGTCATTCCTGAAAAGCACATGTTTTAAATTCTCTCTTAAGATCTCATGCTCATTTTTAGTGTTTTATGAACTACAGCACAGCATATGGCAACAACTAAAATTCTTTTCCTTCTATTCCCACTTTTCCTCCACAATTTCTTACAAAACATCTTGGCATATGCCAGAAAAAGGTAAGAGACCATATCCTTGCATTGTGATATTCAATTAAGGTTTTCTTGTTTTGGTGGGGTTTTCTTTCCCCAAAAAAGCATCTTAATGTGTAAGAAAATTCAGTATTGGAGAAGAACCAAGTGGCATTTTAAGGAGGCTTTCATCGCCAATGTGAGTGTACAGTTATGTCCACACATACAACTGATGCTCTCATGACAAAAATTCTTTAAAGAATTAAAAAATAAACTATGTAATATTGGCTAGCTCATTTCTATGAGACTGCTTCCCTGCCACAACTTCCTGCAAATTCTCCTGTACTAGGCCAGCAATAAAACCAGTAAGATTAAGAATCAATTAAATCCCATCCCTAGTTACAGCAATCTGACAAGGGTATTTCAACACTAAATTAAAGACAGCCCATGGCTGACTGCAGGGACATTTCAAGGTCATTTTAGGACTACTCCAGCATTATTGCATTAAGCAAATCTTTCAAGAACATATAAAGATTATGCCAAGATTTTAAAGTGCATAACGGGTTAATGATAGCTTTAAAGTGCACTGGTAGCAGCTTCAATATTTAAAAAGGTATTTAACCTTTCCAGCATTGGTCAGTATGTGCTAAGCATTTTCAAAACCCACCAGTACTTCTTGCCAAGAATAGCTAATAACAAGGTTCTCTGCAGGACAAGCCTATGCAGGACTCTAGTTAGCCAGAAGAGCTTCAAATTAAGTTTTCTGAACCTTACAGTCTTCGGGCAGGAGAGAAGAATCAGAGCAATGAGTCCTCCTGCTCCAGCTCTGGAAGAAAAGCATTTTGCCCATCTGCCACTGCACAGTACTTTAACATTGCTGGACCATTATCTTCAGACGTAGTAAAATATTTATACAACTTCTGCTGATAAAGTTTCCGGGTGACAAAGATTGATACAAGAATAAGTAATGAAGAAAGGTTACTGTTACAGAGTACTAGCTGATTCAGCTAGAGAATTACAAAAAACTACACCTGAATAGGATCAAGTGAGATGTCGTCAAAAATAACAGGTTTTAAGAGGCCTAAGTAAGAAATCTCAGCTCTCTCATTTTGACTGCAGTCTGATGGAGGACACTCAGCAGCAGCTGTCGGCAGATTCAAGGAAACAGCAATTCTCAGCAGGAGAGTAAGGATAAATAGCTGGAGATTGTATCTTTCTTCAGACATTTAATGGTAGAAAAATAAATGTCTGTTCACAGGACAGTGGTATCACTAAATAACAGAAGACATCAGCAAAAAGCACAGTCTATGAAGAGTTTTTGATGGTGTTATCTGAACAAGGCTGAGAGGAAAAAAAATGTTCCCACTGACCTAAGCAGCAATGGAATAGAGTGTTTGGATGAGCATAATTGACTCGGTGGCTCTATAGGACACACAGAAAGGCAACTAGACATCAGGCTTATGACCTGATAATAGCTTACTTGAAGTGTTGGGGAAAATTTCAAGTCGGCTTTCATAAGCAGAGGAACTGCCTCACAATGCACCAATATTCCGCTGCCATAACATACTATTATATAACAGAGCATTTGACAAGGTTTCCCCCTTCAAAGGCTTTTATACCAGACTTCCTAGAGAGGCGGGTGGGGAAGGCCTTTGTGTACATAAGTAGTTGGTGGGAAAAAGCAAGCCATCACAAATAAACCATGCTAAAAAACAAACCACTGAGCATTTTTCCTGCAGCAGAAAGATGTCATTACTAGAGTTTAGAGACTGGAAAGCGGACACGACAATGAATTTCATGGAGAGATGGGCTCTGAACAATTATCCTCAGAAATGAGACTGAGGGGCTACAGTTACTATGGAGCCAAGCATTTCCTAGAACTAGACCTCACACAGCGCTGTACCAGTCCCGGTTTTCCTCCCTCCCCTATCCCTAGTCTGCCACCTTGACTAACCTGTTTCTATTCAATGGACCACACAAGCACCTGATCCGTTTCAGCACTTAATCCATCCTGCTGTCCTGGAACATGCTTGAAACTTTACCTGTATTGATCATATTGCCAGGCTCTACTTTAGATGCAGGGTTCTAAGCCTTTGCAAAAAGAGCAGCACACCTTAAGTGAAGCAGACTTCATGGCTAGCGTTCCTACCTGTCAGTAAATAGGTATCCTGAGCTCTATTGGCAGAAGAATCTTTCTAGACAAAGCTAGTATCTATCAAAATAAATATTCATTATGAGTACACAAATTTGCAGCTGACTAAAGCTAAAAGAGCATCGATCTTATTTTTATAGAAAAAAGTTACCAGAATCAGTCAGAGATAGGCTTCGACATTAAATCATGATGTATTCTACAACTGCTTTAATTTTTTAGCTTCGTTTTACATTTAACTACAAAAAAGTTTAAGTGTTCCTTTTAAATAGTCATCAATCAAGGTAGTAATCATTCTTCAGGTTTCCATGTAGTATTGAGAATTCAAGACATTTTTGTGAAAACTTCCATAATTAGTTTTTGCACTGTACCACAGGAGAAAAACAAAAAAACAGCTTGAAAGGATTATTCAAAACAGGGCAAGAATTTTAAGCATCTCACATGAAGTCTCAGAGCTTCAAACACAAATTTCTACTCTTCGCGAATGCAATTCTCCATTTTTACAAGACAGTGATAAATCAAAATACATACACTGGAAAGCAGAGGGAATTTGCATCTGCAGTTATAATATAATCACTTTGACAAGTTCACAGCATTAGGGAATACTCCTCAATTGCAAAGAACAGCACATAACTCCATTTGAGTATTATTTGTAGCATTATCAACTTTATTTTAAAGTGCATTAGCAGTAAAAAAAAAAAAAATAAAACACCCAACCACATACCTGTATGAAGCTGAACTTTACCAATGACTCCCTCTACCAGGCCCAGACAAATGGGATTCCAAGCCAAAAGAAGATCAGTAGCTGCAAAAAATAAAAAAATTAAGAAAACATGAACTTTGTTCAAGTAAACTCAATAAAACAGTTAATTCAGTTATGGTCATTCTCTCCACTTTCCCCACCTTAAACACCCAACCACATACCTGTATGAAGCTGAACTTTACCAATGACTCCCTCTACCAGGCCCAGACAAATGGGATTCCAAGCCAAAAGAAGATCAGTAGCTGCAAAAAATAAAAAAATTAAGAAAACATGAACTTTGTTCAAGTAAACTCAATAAAACAGTTAATTCAGTTATGGTCATTCTCTCCACTTTCCCCACCTTAGAGGCTAGACAATATACCACAATTACAGCAACTAGATACATATGTTGTACAATTTTTGCTTGTTATCAAGTAGCTATGACCAAGTGACTAAGTTTCCAATTGAAAGCCCTACCCTAGATATTAAAATAAAAAATATTAAAAAAACATATTTGGTTTGGGCTAGAGTAATTCAGTTTAATGAAGGGTTAATTCTTCCAATATCCATGAAAATTTATAACTTAAGTTTTACATAGCTATAGAGAAATTGAATATAGCTCATGATATTAATAAAGTAGCTTCAAAAACCTAGCAAATGCTAACTTCCAGTCCCAGCTCTCTCATACTTATCCAATTACTATTAGTTTCACACCCTCTTTCTATATACACACCCACACACACACACGCTTCCTCTTTTGTTAAAACGCTCTCAACTACATGGAATAGCAAAGTGCACAAAATGACATTTTATGTTTGCAGTTCTCCTACTGCTCTGAAATTCCAGTGAACTACATAGTAACTAGAAGAGAAAGCAGGAAGGCAACACCATCAGCTTTCGAATCTGTGAAGGGTATTCTCAACAGGCACTCAAGCCATCACTTGACGCAAGTCAGTAGGACAGTATAAAACACAAAGAATATCCTGTGGTCACACAGACACACACTGCTGGTACCGAGTTTCAAAAAGTGGTGTTGTAGTATCTGCTCAAATGTTTTAAGACCATGAGAAAGAATAAATTTCCTAAGTCAAATCTCTTCAGTGAAAGCAAATTGTTAAAAGCAATTAATATCTTTGTAGGAGAGAACAAACTCAAAGGCAAAGAGGTTTTTCCATACCAAGAAGGACAAGAAGCCTGTTATCTACCAAAATTCACCTGTTCCAAGGTAGAAGAGTTTCTCCAAGTTTAACATCCAGACAAATTAAACACCTTAACTCTCAGGGTAAGTAGACAGACATTTGAAACAACAAATCCATGTGATAACTTAAGATACAAAAGAGTACAAGTCATCCACATACACACACTTTATTTACGAGACCTTAGCTGCTTCTTGGAAGTCAGAGATCCGCAGGTGACAACTGAAAGACAGTCTGACACTTTTTATGGACTTATTTTCAAATGCTGTACCCTCTTTGAAACATTTATAATTGAGATTTTTCTATTCCAAGAACACACATTTTTTCCCAGCTTTCAGCATAATGTTTAACAGCAAAATCAGACTTGGCTAATTTCATCATTCAATACAAGCATTTATATGAGATACATTAGAAATGGCTGAAGTCAGGTTAGATCTACACTGAACTCATCTAAATGAGATCTAGCTCACATGCTTATACGCAGACAAGCAAGAACTAAGAGCACATGGCAGAATTTAAAGCCATGTTTGCAGGAGGCAGTACAGAGTTATAATTAACACGTGTAACTAGGGTGTACTAATTAATGGACTGTATCTGCATAGAAACTCCAGGTTTCTCCTATTTCGCCATACAATTGCTACAGACAGTCACCTGATCTGTACAGAACCTAGCATGAATCATGCCATAATTAAACAAAGCTCTTAAGGAGACTAATACAGATAGACAAGCACCAGGAAATAAGTGGCAGTGGCTATGGCAGTGTGAACAGCTCAATTTATCCTCAAACTCTGAAGTATCTAAACTTGTACCCATGTAACAGAGACTTGAGCTCACACAAAACAAGTTCTAGGACAGCCTGGCCTCAAGAGTTCCAGTCCAAATAACATGGAAGAGAATCTGTAAACCAAGTGGAAAGTCTACACTATCCAACTATCAAGGAAAGAGGAATACAGCTTTTCTTGCCTCCCAATCTTCCACCTTCTTTCCCTGTTCATCCACACAATCCTAAAGTCTTGTCTTCACCCCTGGGAATTTTCTGTAGCTCTGTCACCTCAGGCCTCATTTACTATTTGCTATCTTTGCAATTATTTCCACATTCATATTCCACTGTGAGAGCTAGAAACCAGCTAGATATATCAAGCAGCCAAAAAAAAAGCTAGACACAGAGGAATTTAAAGAACTAAACCACCAAAAGTTTACCATAGCCACTACAAGCCTAGTAATCTAGAACTCCTTCTTAATCTTTTTAAACCACTGACTTTCTGCTATGAGAAGATATATTAGTAACAAAGCTCTGGATAGTAAGTGAGGTTTTCCTCTAGTAGCTTAAAAGGGATTAAAAAAGAGAGAAAACAAGTTTTTGTTCTTATTACATATATATGAAAATGATAGCTTAAACTTGCCTGCAAAAGGACATAAGGAAACTGGTATCAGGGACTGTGGGACCAGTGGGTCTTAAGCAGCTGTTCTATTAGTTTTGTGATTTACTCTGACATATGTGGCCCCAGACATAATGATACACAATGTCCAAGACTTCTGCAGGACAATTTCTTCCTAGTAGTACAGGGGAAGAATGAGAACTGGCTCTAAACTCCAACTCAGAGGTTCAAGTCAAGTATAGATGAGCTTGGGGGGGTGGGGAGAGAATGCATTGGAATTAAATGCATTAAAAAGAGTTCAAACACAGCAAATATGGATCCACCAGCTGGGCAGCACAGATAAGTGTGATTATCAAGCTACTAACAGTGAAGGCTGACTGCTTCAAGAAAATTTTCCACCAGGAGGGCAGGGCATAAGAAAGAGACGACATATTTAGCAACATCTGAGGAGATTAACAGGCTTTTTTCAAGAAAACCTAGATGCAAAGAAGTCTTACAGGAGAAATGCCTGGAGGCTGTGAAAAAATACCAATTGTGGAATCACACTGACTTTCCTTGGTGAAAGTACCACAACAATTTTCTCACACTATTTCTAGAGAACCTTCTACAGGAAAGTACAGAAGAAAGCAAGTTGTTTTAATTATAAAAACACATCAGGTTTGACCTTCCAATCAGAACTTGGTTACTGGTTATAGCTCAGTTTCCTGCCTGACAGCTGTATCTTGACTCAGAGCCAACACCCAAATCATGCTGAATAAATATCACTGCAGTGAATACCGATAGGAACTCTTGCTCTCGAACAATACGCACTGCAAATGCGAGATGGATGAACCAAAATAAAAGGTTTAGCTATTATTCTCCCACCCACCCCCAAAGAATATGGGCTTTCTTGTTGAATGCAGTTCTGTTTATGCTGTTTTGGAAGAAGCTGCCTTCAACTTTTGTCTAACAGTATAAAATTATTCAAGACTATTCACTTGCAGTCATTTAGTCTGTCTGGCAACTCTGGCAGCAGCTATCTTCAGGCACCATCTTGTATCTTTGAAAATTTTAACAATTTTATACTTAATACTATTACATTAGCAAAGATTCAGAGATCCAAGAAAGTCAGCTGCAAGCCTGTAGTCTTTAACTGTAAAATACAGCAGAACTTAAGAGGCAGCATAGATTTGTATATAGTGATATATGTTACAGATCAGTTAGCATAAGACATGTGGCCATATTTCTGACTGCTGAACGCTGAAGCAACACATAGCAAGTTTGACTTTTCTTAATTTTTTTTCTAAAAAAAGAAATGCCTTATCAATAAGAATTAACAGCTACAAGACTCTATCTAAGGAAACACAGGACTTTACATGCAAAACAGACTGAATACTTAGAGATATGATGTGAAATTCAACTCATCACTACAGTTACTCTTGTTTGCCCACACAAACTTATCTTCCTATAGATATCATACTAGTCACACAGCAATCTCATCTCAGACAGCCAAGAATAAAGACTTATCAACCCAAAACCTGAATAAAAACTTATCAGCCACAATGTTGTTGAAACAGAACTCTTACAGTATTATGCTGATAATAATGAAAACTGTCAAAATAGTCATTTGTCCTTCAAATCGGAGTAGGAAGCTACATAGAGAAGAGCCACAATGAGCAGAATAGAATATCTTCCCTGACTCAAGGAGTTCTCTGTTGTCCTCAGGATGTTTTGAGAGAATTGCCAGGGTTTGATCAGTCTTAACATATGCCCTTAATACTCCAAGGTATGTACTTGCTTAGCAAGTTTCCATCCTGAAGCACAAAACTGCACATTCTTTCCCTTATCCCACTAATTAAACACAAGATATCAAAACACAGTTTGCCTCTTTTTGCCCATTTCTGTCAGAGATTAACAATCACTGACGATATTTACCATTCACGGTGATTGCATCAGCATTGTAGTTGCTGCACAATAGAACTTCCTCACAAATTATGAACAAAACCAGCTTTGATGTGATTACTTCCATCACCACCCCTCAGAGCCTACCAGCAGTGATGCAGGGCCAGGCAATGCTAGATCAAAGTTTCTTTAATTCTCTGTGTTTAGACAAACATAATCCTGAAAAAGGTGATGCAAAAACAACTATGAAGGGCATCAAAAGCTAAACTGTTCTCTAGCTCTTTCTCCAGTCTACTACCAGCAGAGTGGTGTGAGGGCACAAATTCTGATAAGAAAATAAACCGCTGCTTTGGGATAAGCCACTTGCTCAAGGCCAAATGACTCTAGGCAAGTCTGAAGAGTTGAAGTACACAGGGTGTCAGCTTCCTTCAGGGAAAATACAGAAGGAAAAAAAGAGCATTTGATTTCTAATCACTAGAATCTTTCCCTTACTACTGAGCTGCTGCGTGGTTCGATTCAAACAGCTGTAACTATTTATCTTCCAATCTTGCTATAGTTTTCTTATCTTCCTTGAACTTTGATAGCTCTCAGGAACAGACAGTCAGCTAGAAAGTGTTTCCTGTCAGCGTGCTCAGTATAAAAACAAACAAAGTACCACTGAACTTCAAGCTAACTTTAAATGTAAGTGTATTAGACATAAATGCATGCTGTTTCTCAAAAATTCTTTCCATAGCCTGAGAGTAGCAATTCCCACAACTGTTCTCACCATTCAACACAAGCAACAGACATTTACCTGTCAGAATTA